GAAAGAGAAATTTAATCTTAGACTACACTTGAATTGGTGATTAATGTGCTGTCTGTCGATGTTAAGGCTAAGGGTACAGAAGAACTGGGAATACTCTTTCAATGCTCCCATTTGCAGATAGCAGTTGCAGAGCAAAGTTTCTTGTTGGATGTAATTACTTGAGCCTGTACTGGTAACTAAGTACTATGAGACTCTACCAACTTCCAGTAGCTTTCAGAGTTTTCCTTAAAACATTAGTTCAAAAGAAAAAAAAAAAGCATTGCTCCTCCATTCAGCTAAATAGGTTTTTAATGTGCAGAGTAATATATAGCAGCATTTTCCAAAACACTAGTTAGCCCATATAAAAACTGGCTGCATGATTATTTACTTCATTTGTGAAAGAGTATGAAAGACTGTCCATAAAGTGGATTTTTTCTTGCAGCAATGATCAGTATAATTCCATCACGTTTCTGAAAACGCACCATGTTTGCTTTAGAAGCTTTTCAACAAAAATATTGCACTGCATTTTGGTATACATCTCCCTCAGCTTTCCGGCAATAGTTGTTAAAAACACTGAAAGACTGATTCACAAGTTTGCTGCTCATAACTTGAACTTCAGAGAAATTCAAATAAACACTAACAATGTAATCTTTATATATTTAACAGTTTTCTCATCCTTTGTTATAGCATATTATTTCCTGCAACTATTAAGTGAGAATGGCTTAAGGAAGAACAGGAAAAACATCTGCAAGGCTACCATGAAATGAAGCTAGTAAGAGAATTTCTGTCGTTTATAGTTTTATAACCATGCAACTAGGTCAGCAAGAATTTCCGCTCATAGGAAACTGACAGTCATGTCAACATTTCAAGAAGGTTTTTTTTGCAATATTTTTAATGAAGACGCTTTCCTCAGGATTCAGAAACATTTCTGCAATTGCTGATGAAAGAATTCAGCTCAAAGCAGAAGCCTGTCATTTTCACCAGGAAGGTACTTATTCCATTGTAAATATTATCTGCTGCTATGGGTTCCTTCATTTAAAAGTTTTCTTGCCTTGCCATTACACCAAAACCAGTGATAAGCTACACAATTGTAACCTGACTGCAAGACCATCTAGCCTTTATTTCTTATGACGAGCCCAGAATCTATTAACATTCTATATGGGTTCTAAAAAAGGGTTAAATTACTGCAGAAAATGCTTTTATATTACTGCATGCAATACCTGAACACTTAGAGGAAAACATGGGAAAACACTGTACAACCAGAATACTAATGGTTGAGATTCAGTGACTACTTAAAATGGCAAGAGCTCCGAGTGAAAGACCTGTATATTATCTAATGAAAAGCTACACAGCTGACTGACTTTTCCAAAGGGTTTCAAACGAGCCCAGGAAAAAATAAATACGTTTATTCAAAAATAGCTCAAGGAAAAATTCTACTCAAGAAATAATTCAGAAGTTATGGTATTCTAAGACACCTTGCTTATGCTGAATAAAATTTTTCAATACTGTATTAGTATAAACCGTAGTTCTTATTCCTGAAATTCAGAATATAGCCAGGATATGAAAAATTTCTATGTGTAATAACTTACATTTGAAGTAATAATCCTCAAGTAATTTATAGGAGTGCAAAAGCATTCTAGCACTTTTACTTAAGAGAGAAGATTCACTACAGTTAAAACACAAAGCATCACATGAGATGTTAATTCTCAAAACCAAACAGTTAACACAAAAAATGCTTACAAACATCTCTGAACACACGTTCAATTCCTTCAAAATCTAAATTTTGTTTGCTTATTCAGATTTGGCCTATGAAAACTTGATTCATCCGACTGCATTCACCTTCAAGAAGTGTACGTCCCTAAACTATGTCATACTCTAACTGCATGAAAGACGGAGGAAAGATTTGTGGCTAGATCAGGAATTCATTCTTTCAATACCTGCCGCTTTTTGCGCTATAATTTGTTGGGCTGCCTCATTAGCTCTTGAATAAGTTATTATTGAACCATACTTCAACAGTACTTGCTACTTTCCAATGCCTGAAACAAATTACTGGTAAGTGACCCACATACTAAACACTGATCGATTGTTCATTATTATTCATGGTTAATCATAAGTCTTGAAGAGGTTGTATGCAGCTTCGAAAGTACTCTAATGCCATCTGAAAACCACAAATGGCTGAGGATGGTATTAAAGCATCAAAATCATAACATTAATTTCTTAGTCAACTGCATTCCAGACTTAAGATACAAATACTAACAAATTATCTCCTATTCACAGGATTCAAAATATTAGAGAAATTAAGAATTTTATTAATCCAAAAACATTAGCAGAAAAGTTATTTACATGACATATTGAGCAACCTCATTTTGACTTTACAGAAAGCTCCATAAGGCTGCATTCTTACTATATTGTTTTCTCTACTACAGCCAAACAATAGACCCATTTCACAGGGTGCTCCCACATAATCAGAAGAATATTTGTTTACTTTCCTATGGTATTATTCAAACAGTTTAAAGAACATGCATCCACACATTCAGCCTCAAGAAAATTAACATACATTTGGTTCACATAAGCCAATAAAAGTGCAGTTTATCTTGAACTGTAGAGAACTCTTGTTAGGAAATGCTTCTTAGATTACACATAACATGAACTTGAATAATATGAAAGCTAATTAAAGGGCTTCCTTTTTCTCTCTCTCTCCCCCCCTTTTTTTTAAAAAGAAGTTTGCAATCTTTTTTTCATGAGATATCATACAGTATTCCACTTTAGAAAGAGATGAAAGCAAACACGAAGGAGACCTGCGTCTGCAAAATACGCTACAGAGAGAGGTAAGTTTACTCAGTTCGTGCTCTGAGTCAACCAAGTGCCAGTAGACCATAATGGGACAGTCCCAAATCTAAACTTGTTTCATGCATCAGTGAACCCCTACAATGGAAGAAGACTGTAAGGAGATAGGGAAAAGCTGTAAGCCCTTGAGGCTCAGGCCAGAATGAATGGAGGGACTCACCACAACTGCTGCAAAGGAATCCGAACTTACCTCAGCACAAAGGGAACCAGAAAATATCCTTTGTTCTAAATAAACGACTACATAAGCTGAGTGGATCAACCAGCTAGGTAACTGTTTGCTCCCAAGTTAATCAAAAGAATGCAATTTTATGTTTCCTGAGTTAGCCAGAGCAGTAACAGGGAATGTGTATGTAGCTTAGCCCAACATAGAGTACAAAAAAATGAAGAACAAACAAAAGAACTTTGAAAAAAAGCCAACGGGCTTAAAATGGTTTCAACCCACATAATCCTTCCCAGACATTTGATACGCCTAGCATGATGGCAAGCATATTACAGAGATCAATAACAAAACCCACATTTGTACTGTGATTTAACTGTATACTGCAGTTGCTATACTTCCGTGATATATATTGTTGATCTACTGTGAAGTAAGTGCACTGCTGTATCACTCTGCTAAGTCAAAATTTCATGCAACTTCCAATAACTTCAAATAAATTAATTTTGTATTACACATTAAACCCTCCACACGTGGAATATCTAAAAGAACGTGACAATCTGAAATTCCTGCAGCTAGATATTTTAATGCTGATGGGCATGATTTTAGGATCAAAATTTGAATTTTTATTAAAATCTGGCTTGAAACAAATTCACATCTGCCTGCAAAGTGGAAATTTGAGATGCGCTCTTACACAGTTTTTTTTTTGTCAGGTTTCTTAGTGTTCAAGAACAAGTGACAAAACAGGGAGGGGTAATTCTTGTAATAGATGGCAATGCTTATAAAAATACAGATGTTGCAAGACACCTTCCCACTATAAAACCATGCTGTGAATTCCATAGCATTGCACAAGCCGTAAAGATAGCTGGCATTACACAGAGTTTTAAACTTAATAGAAGCATAATACGAAGTAAAAGAAGAACGTACCTTTTATCTGTGTTCCAAAGTTGAGGGCTAATTTTGCAAACAGATCTGGGCTTTCAAATTTATCTTCTCTAGCCTTTACCCAAAAGCTGCATTCCGTTATTTCATGAGGCTCAACCTGAAACAAAAATTCATTTTTGAAGTTAATAATCAGTATTTTCAATAGCCAAATTAAAATCAATGCGACCAGATTGTTGTGATAATCGCATTGAGTTAAGTTTGAGAATTAAACAACTAGTAAGAACGATTTTAAGACGCTTAAACACAAATGGTGCCATGGCACATGAGATTTAACCTGTGGAGAGGCAGTAAAGTCATTAGAAGCAGCAAATGATGAACATGGCTAGGTTTGTCATCTTTCCATTTTGACCCTGCATCATTTTGGGTGCAAGAATCACAAAAAATCTGTTCACAAAGATGTTATCTCAATCCATCTTAAAAATGTTCTCTTTAAGATGCTTCCTAAGGAAAATACAGTCACACCAACTATCCTCTATCTTCACAATGATTTTATCAGATCAGCTTAATACCTTCAAGTAAACCTGTGCAACTTCCTCTAAAAAATCCCAATGTAAAAAAGGGGTAAAGTTACCCAATACCAACAAGATAAGGGTTTTTGGCAAGGTAAGTTTCATAATCAGAGAATACTTTTTTACATCAACGGGCATAACTGAAAAATTTAGACAAATTTTAAGAAGAGAAGTTTTTCTTCAAGTCTGAATGAGAAGTAGCTGACTGAGATAACTGTTCAGACTTTAGTTAAGTGTGCGTGTGTATATACATGTCGGATCATCTACGAAAAAAGAATAAAAAAGGCAGTTACCTGCAGAAGAGGTAGCTGCTACCTGAAGTGTTTTTAAGAGTGGAGGCAGAAAGAGGAGATAATAGAGTTTTTAGCCCAAGGAAAAGCAAAGATTACAGAAGGATGTGGGATTATAGCATGACCCAAAGTAATTATCTGCATTGAATTCATGGTATCCTCTAGTTATCAACCTAAGTTCATCCTTTGTTTCGTATGTTTGATGGGTTTCTCTTGTGCACCATGACTGAAAGTTTAAAGAGCAACAGACCTAAAAATATTAAGGTAGAACATGGAGCGGCCTATGAATTTCACAAACATGGTGCTTGGTATAAAATTTCAGTAGCACCCTGTGCTACTGTTCTACTGTTAATCTTAAGGACTACAGAACTCTCGTCACAAAGAGGGACTACTACCATGGAGAGTTTTGGTAACTGCTGCTTCCCCACCCCTCATCCCCAATCAATTTCTTGAAATAGTCAATGAGGGGGGTCTCACATGGAATTTCAAACATTCTGACATTTGAAAGTATTGTGCTGCTTACTCTTCACTTTGACAGTAGCCAGGGGGAGGATGTCAGAAGTCCCATCATACCGGTTTTGCTAGAATTTTTTTCCAAGTGTCAGCCAAAAAGTCCCCTAATGTTTTGCATAATCAATAGACTATCCAGCCATTTCTCTTAGTAGAGACTTAAAACTTAAAGAACAATTATTTGTACTAGGAGGTGTTTTCATAGCCTATATGGTGCGAGAAAGTTCACTGGCTCTTGCTCATCCTTGTCGTAAATACTGGACTATGTTTTGCTCCTAAGGCAGAAGAGTTGGTTACATTTCTCCCCCGTCCCCTTCTTATGGTATATAAAGATTGCTTTCTCAAATCACTTGGAATTCACTGATCCTGTGTCTGAGATTTTCCTTTTTTGGAGTAGGTGAAGAATGTTTTCTCAGGTTAATTCAGGGTTTTTTTTGTTGTTTTGGTGGATTTTATTTATTTATTTATTTAAGTTCAGTTGCATAAATCTGTAACACAAAGAATTACATGTGATGGTCAAAAATTACCACCGATTCCCAGATTCTGAGAATATTTGCTTTTCCCAAAAGCTCAGAATTTAGACAGTGTTCAGGTTGATTTCTTTTTAACGTTTTCCATTTCAAAATGGCAAAAATATATCATCTTCCATGCTCTATTGGTAGTTTTGCTGTATTCAGATAATTTGAAGACAGGCAAATAGTAATACTATCTCTTCTCACTAATTTTGTCTTCTTACAACCTTACATTACTACAGTTCACCAACCTAGAAACACAACCTAGAACCACAGAGTTAAAACAATTACAGCTTATTAACAGAAAACTAGCCAAATCCAAGGGAAGTATGGCAGCCTTTTCTTAATTCCTAGTAGAAAGAAATTTCATTGCAGTTAACATCAGCAGTACCTCATCTAGTATTTATATCTGCAGAGTCATCAGGGGAAATGTTTTATCTTTAAAATTTTCCATTCAACAAGTTTTCCAAACAGGCTTGATAACATAACAGCAACTGAGTTTGGAACTGCCCTAGCTTTCTCTCTTGATTACCTTCTAGATAGTTCCCAAAGCCTTTTCTTCACAACTGCTGTGCACCATAATTACTTAAAGATTATAGGAGGAACGCTAATCTTTCTTGCTCTGTGTAAAGGATGGCATACCTCATTTGCAAATGCTATGCCAGGAGGGACATTTAAGAGACTAAATTATTATGTCTTTTTAAAACATTAAGCCTTTAGGAAGAATCATCATCTTAGATATGATAAATAGTTTATACTTAGTATCATTTATGTGTATAGTTTCCATTTTTCAAATGTACTAAACACTAACAGATAGACATTTACCTGAAGTGCTCTATTTGATACTAGCTTTTTTAAAAAACAATAAAAGAAAGTAGACTGCAGCAGAAGCTGAAAGCTGATTTTACTCTTCAGGAATGATTCCGCGTATCTATTTTATGTTTTCAAAACATGCTCCTATTCCAGTTTTCAAGTGTTTTCAATCATTGTTTTACAAGTTTGGGACACTGGTCAAATGCCAGTAAAAACTTTGAAATTAAAGGGCTATTTAAATTCAAGCTGCAGGAAATTTGTCAATACCATAAGCCTTATCAGGATCTCACGGAAACACACAGGTCCTCCACCTTTCACCATATGATCACTGTTTTACTCTGTAGCTACTTCATCAGCTGCAGACAAGGCATTTTTTAAAACCTAACTTAATGCAGCACCAACAATGAAGAGTTACAACTACATGCGCTAAATTAAGCGATAAGAATTTTATTCCTAAAATGACTGCTCCTTAAAGCGATGATCTAAATAGACTGTACTCTTTTGCAAAACGTAGAAGAGTTTTGGCACGGTTCCCAGACTACTTAAGCCAAGTATCCATCTGTAGTTACTTTCTATTATCATAGACAGTGTTCAGATATATACTTTATACATTACTTCGGTAAATATATTAATATAACTCATTTCAATGATATTGGCTGCAGTGATAAATTGATATTATAAACTAAAAATTTATTTATGAAAACACTAGCCAGATCAAATGCATAGAAGTGGCAAAACGTAAATCCGTGATGAAATCTATACTCCTTTAAGGAAAACACCACCTATGAGTAAAAAGACAGCAAACCCGTACAAAAGATTTATATCAACCTTCAGCGATCAAAGAAGGTAAGAGAAGCTAACTGACATAATATCCAAAGAACATTTTTAAAGGCTAGGCAGAAAGGCATTTCTCAGGCATTAGAGCTCCATTTTAAAAATAAAAATGGAAGAAAAAAAAAATCAAGAAACTACATAGTAGAAGCTATGACGATAATAATTTTCTAAACAAAAAGATAACAAGGATATTCAATGGTAAAATATTTACAGGCAGTGAAATCACCTACACTTTTTTAATTCAAGAAAAGCTCAGCATTAAAAAAGTTAAACTTTTGAAGATGAATTATTACAGTAGAAAGGATTACAAAATTGTGTAATTCAAATGATTCATAAGAGTACAGGCACTAAAACAAGTTATCCAACTAGATGAACTACAACCCCCCTCCGAAAAAGTCCTCTTGATTCTATAACTAAATAACGCCATATTCCTCAAAGAAAGAAATAAGCATCTTTATTCCCAGCATGAAAATTCTTACATTCTTGCTTCTTTTTAACAATACAACCACAGTACTTAAAACAGCCCAGCTGACTTTTCTAAAAATGCTAGTATCTTGGCATGGCAGGCAGGAGATTCAAGATATTTTGTACAGAAAACAGGAGGACTGCAAGACTCTTTTTAAATTCAGAAGCATACAAATTAACCTGTATTTTTCAAAAACACTTCAGTATTCCAGAAATATACTGAGAATTATATCCAAACAAAAAACTCTCCACCAATTTCATTTTACTGCAGCCGCTCCAGTTTCTTATAATATCACCTTGATCTACAATTCTCTATGAGGGACGTGAAATTTCCCACACAGCCATTAATGTACCGTAGCACTAAGAATATTCTGCTGGTGCTGCATGAGTCATAAGAGCCTGCGAACGCAGTCATTACCTCTTTGGGAGGCACTAACATATTTATGCATGTTTTAAAACAAATATGTCACTGTGGGGAGACCCAGATATTTAATAAAACATTGTCCCCATGAAGAGAGAATTTAAATAAGTAAACTTAATCTTGATGCTTCTGGAACAAATACACTTGAGAAGTAAGCATATTTTAACATGCAACATCCCTCCCTTTAAATCTCAAATAGATAACTCATGAATTACTGAATCAAATAAGAGAAAATCACGTGGATGGCTCAGCACTTCTGAAGTGAGGATAACAACTACCCGCAACACTGAAGCTTGTTAACTGAAAGTAAAGATTTATAACGTCTTCTTCTCTGAGATACTCTTAATTCCTACTCCCACAACAAAGAAGGAAAGATAACATTTAACCTTACAGGCAGAATAATTTATTTGATGTGAGAATTGCAGAGTGAAAAAGACAAAGGAAATAGTTTCATATTTATTTTAACACGTGTTAAAATACATTTAAATCAGAATTACTTATTCGGAATGTCCTTCTACTTAAACATTTTGAAAATCTGTTTTTGAACTATTACTGCTAGATATATTTTCAGACTATTTTGGCATAGGTCAAAATTCAGGAGCAAAACAATAAAGGTGATAAATTATATACTTTAATTCTTCTGGTAAAAGAAGATATAAGGCTGACAACCTATGCATTTACACACAGGTTGTCAAATAGCTCTGTAGTTATCTCAGTCTTCTAGATTCCCCTTTTCAAAGTTAGTGGGATTAATCACCCATACTAATGCTCTTACTCGGTTCTCCAAGTAAAGCGCCATTTCACTATTCAACACTTCAGAATTTACAGAGGAACAAAACCTTAAGCTTACTTTTTGTTTGGAAACACCCTTAAGATCATTTATCCAAAAATTTGAGAGAACAGTCTAGTTTCTCTCCCAACGGTAAACCCGTCATGATTAGTTCTTCAAAATTTTGCTTGAAATAATAATGGTATATATTCAGAAATGAAGAATTTATGACACAAAGCAATTTACCTTGAATCATCTAGAAAACCCCATGGTGAAAGCTAGAACTATTTCTAAACACAGTGCTTTTGCCACAACACCATAATTTTACACATATTATTAAAACTGAAATTCCACTATGTCTGACAACATAGATTAACTACTTAAGAACTGCATGGAAAAATGATTCTGTGTTCTCGCAATATCGTGAAAACAGCCTACAAAGGACTCTTCTGCGTTTCCAGTGATGTGATTCATTTCAATGTTTTCATGTTCAAAAGAAGTAGGATGTCCAACCAGAAGCAGCATCTGGCGCAGTCTTCCAGCTCTACCCAGGACAACATCATAACATTCAAATATCTATAAGGATGCCTATCTGTATCTATATGCATTTCCACAGGTTTATTGGCTGTGAAAGAGTCTGCAAAAAAAAAACCCGTTCTGTTTCAGACTGACATTCAAACTGAGCGTTCATCAGTTGTTCTATATGAAATTACAGCTTAAGGTCAAAGACCTTAGCCACTTGTAGCCACTTAACAGCTTAATTACATCAACACTTTGATTTTACAGAGTGCTCGGTACTGATACACTTCTGAGATAGAATTTGGTTTTCAAAGAAAGCAACAGTCACTGACTGGCAGTACAAAGCTTTACTACTATAACAAAAAAAGTACTGGACACTCATCCAAACTAGTGTGAAATCCTAGAGACCAAACAGACAGTATGCGATATATGAAGGACCTTATTTGATTTGCCTTGATAATTTTGGTGATGTAAGCATTTTTTCCACACCAAATCCCAATACACTTATGTTTTCTAGCATGAAACTCTGCTGAGCTCAAACTGCCTTTAAGATGCACTAATTTAGTCTTGATAATATATAAAATTTCCTCAAGAAAATTACTTCAAGATTCACTTAGCCTATGATAAAACCCAGCATTCATGTAAATAACTCAACCTTCTGAATAAAATGTAGTAATGTGATTTATTAAGTATCTATTTTAACCATTTGATTACTCAAATCTGCTTTAAATAAAATATTTTTACCTCTGAAGAGCTCACTTGGAAAGTCAAATATCATCTCCAGCTTAAAACATGTACAACTATTAACTCAATTATATATGAGGACAGCCACAATTCTGAGAGCTGTTAGCTACTGGCATCCCCAGGAAAGTCATACAGTGTTACAAGCTCTTGGCATCATTAACCACTTGGAGGCTCTCCCATGTTGGATGAGGTGTCTTTGAAAACTACTATCAGCTGCACCACAGCCATTACACCAGAAATGTTTTGGATAATGGATGGGATGCATTCTACAAACTTGAACCACCATTAACTTGAACCACCATGTTACTTTCTTCTCCTTCAAAAATTTCTTTTTAATGAACAGGGGGGAAAATAAGCAATGCAGTACCTTTGACCAGTTGATTCTTTTCATAGAGACTTCTGGCTTATACTTTTTCTTCTCTTTCATTCCATGCGGCAGTAATGCTGGTACCCCTGGAAGGGGAGAAGAAGTAGGAAAACCTCGAAGAGATGCTGGCATTGGAGGCCCACACAAAGGTGGGGGAGGAGGAGGAGGAGGAGGAGGGGGGGTGGCGGCGGCGGCGGCGGCGGCACCGTCTCACTTGGTGGGGGTGGAGGTATTGGTGCTCCTTCTTTCAGTTGACCCGTCAGGCCTGGACCCTGAAATTTAAAAGTATTTTTCATCCAGGAATAGGAAGAAGTTACAAATAAAGTTGAACTAACTAGGCTGCCTCATAGCCAACTGTACTTCAATAAAGTCACAATACAAAAATCCCCTTATTTAAATGAGAAACATTAACAACAGCTTATACAACGCACCATAAAACTGCCAAATAAACTAAATAACCCAGCATTTTTACAGAAATGAATTGTTTCCATTGTAAAGACAACTTAATAATAGCACTAATATTTAAGTGAACAGTATAGCATTTTATTTCTTGCCATTGTCCCCACTCAGAGTATCTTGATAAGCTGGGGCACCAAAGACGGTAGCTACAATTATGAATGCTAATAACATCAATTATTAATCTGGTGGAAAATTTTCCACAGAAATCACTGAAGGAGCTATTGCAGTGTAAGAGGTTATGACGCTACAGTTGTTCATAACTATCCTGACATCTTGTTTGGAAAAAAAGAAAAAAAAAGAATCACTTTTTTAAATCTGTCTGCTGTTGTTTCTGCACTGGTATGAAGGAAGAACAATTGCAACGTACACTCCAGTTGCAAAGAGAACAATGAACAGAAACAGCAGTGTGTTAAACCATCAGAATTGTTTCACATGATCCTAGCCTAGAGTACCAAATTCTCAAAGAATTTTCTTCTTTAAAGTATCTGCTAGAAAGTAGCAGCAGGAGCCATCCACAAACCACCACACAGTGAGTTATATTTTAACTTCTTTACAGTCTAACTGATCTTTTGTTGAAAAAATCATTGTGTGATATAGGCTGTTCATTTAATCCGATTTGCATACTCTTCTCCTAAGCTATTATATATTGTTTCTAGTTTTCTGTCAAATGAGAAAAAAAAAAAACAAGCTGTGAAAAAACCTCAACACACCTAAAATTAAATGCCACAATATATTCTTATTCTAAGTTAGCTGGGAGTAGAAACGGTGAGTATAACAGAAAAAAAAAAGCGTAGACACTAAAAAGCTTATATATATGAATTTTAATTGTAGCATTATCGTGAATGAGCTGTAACATCTTGATAATCTGAACTAGAAGTGCAAACTTCAGTATAAATGGACTAATAATTGATTCGACTAAAAATAAATTCTTGGCTCCGCACAAGGCATGTGTTTTTGTGGGCTTTTTCATTTTTTGGGCCACGAGAAGACTGAGAGGTGATCTGATCAACGTGTACAAGTATCTGAAGGGGGAGTGTCAAGAGGAGGAGGCCAGCCTCTTCTCCGTGGTGCCCAGCAACAGGACAAGAGGCAACGGGCACAAACTGAACCACAGGAAGTTCCACCTGAACCTGAGAAAAAAATTCTTCACTGTGAGGGTGACAGAGCATTGGAACAGGTTGCCCGGAGAGGTGGTGGAGTCTCCCTCCCTGGAGATATTCAAAACCCGTCCGGATGTGATCCTGGGCAATACGCTCTAGGGGACCCTGCTGGAGCAGGGAGGTTGGACTAGATGATCTCCAGAGGTCCCTTCCAACCTAAATGATTCTGTGATTCTGATTCTGTGAACTGAGAAAGTTGTAATGGAGCAATTGCTGGAGAACTCAGCAAGACAGGCTGTCAAAACTTAGTGCAACACAGTCTTGTAGAGACTTGTACAAACATTAAAACTGATGCAAACGAAGTACGGACAGAAATGTCTGTGTGTGACATAGAGCACCAGTTACCAGAATGCTTATATTGATAAAAAGGATATGACCAAGAGCAATCCAGCTGTTAAATACCAAGTAACACGTTTTCATTAAGATGAGAAGGCCAGCGCTCTGATAAGGCCAAAGCACAGATAACTTGCCAGCAAAAGAACTACACCCTGATAGCAGGAGGATGGTAGCCAGGTTATATATGCACAGCATGTGCCACTCCCGTTCCCGTTATCCAACGGAAAGCGAGACCACAGGCATAAAGATACCCACAACGAAGAAGAAGGCAATTGGCGGCAACCTTGCCTAACATTCAAGGAGAACGAAGTAAGCCAGACTAAGGCAAAAAGATAATTGCCATAATAATTGTTGGTTCCTAAAAGGTGTAAGAGACGCGTCTAACCCCAATTCATCGTTATCAAACAATATGAACACCTAAGCAATGTTGTAAGGGGTCAACGGGCAGCACGGCTTGTCCTCTGCACCTCACAAGTGAACACAGACAGACCGCTTGGACATGTATTTTTTGGTGCTTCCAAGTGAAATTCATGAGAAAATGATTGTAAGTAAAATCAGTTTGGTTGAAAGCATCACCTTGTCCTTACGTGAGCTCCTGCACTGAGTTTTGTTACACTAATGTTACACAGTCTCATAGATAAATGAAGTACTTGTTTTAGCGAAAGCTACAGTCTGAGATCCAGAGTTCAAAAAAAATGGATGTTACTAGCCTTCATTTGCATGCATCGTCCGAAAGGTGTGTATATTATGCATATACTTTTATTTCCACCTTTGCAATTTACATACAAAGCCTTCTGAAAAAAAGCCTTCTGCAAAACATACAGAAGTAACATCAGGATATGAACAATTATTTAGAGAAAAAATTATGCTACATTGAAACTTTTTATAGCCTAAGGAAATTTTATTCTCAATAAAGCAAACATCTATGACAGGTGTTCAACACACTACTATTTGAAAAACTGCTACCTCCATTAACTATGTGTAGTGTTTTACACTGGTTTAAAAATAAATCAATACAACTATCAAATACATTTCAAATTCCGCAGACTCAGTACTCTCAAGGGCACCTTCTTTTCAATTCTAAGAAAAGTAGTTTTCAACTGTGGAACTTACTGGATTTAGTTTTATTACCTGGGTTCGGAGGTTTTTGATTTCTGTTTCAAGTTCTTTGATTTTCTCTTCTCGTTTCTGAAGCTCAGCTTGTGCCTCCTGTCGAGCTGTGAACTCTTCATCAAACTGTAATGATTAACAACCACAGAAGCCTTCATCCCTTTATAGCCACGTTAGATACTATACTTTCAGGAAATCTTTGAACAATAGCACAGCTAGAACAATAGATGCACTTTTAGGTTTAAAAAAATTCTACATCTTTCCAGTATGTATTTTTCTAGTACCGCATACAAATTGTCATTAGTAAGTTATGTCACAAAACCACCCAGATCCAGATCCTTATTGTGGCATACAAAAAAAGTACATTTAACTTAAAAAAAAAAAAAAAAACATTGTAGACTTCTCAAAATCCACTTGAGTATACACTCCATGGAAAGAGCTCAAGTTCGAAGAGAGATGTCTGAAGCTTCATCGGTATCATCCATAAAGTACCATAAGACAGGAAGTATCCAAAGAAGTCAGCCCTCATTTCAGTCTAACTGTCCCCGTATAAAATGAAAACATCCAGTTTATAATATTCAAATACGATTGTGAAAACTTTGTCTTACGTTTTCACCTTGCTACTGTTTGCTATGTTTAAGAGACGATTTAGCGTTCTGCAAAGGCTTCTGTTAATCATTCTTCTTCAGGACACGACAACTTATCATTGGGAAGAACACGCGTTGGCTGCCACTAGCAGAGCACATTACGGTAAAGAGGTCTGCCAGGGAAACATCACAAGTTGTTTTCTTTAAAGCCTGGATATCAATAATTGGTGTTAAAGTGGTGTCCATATTTAACATTAAAGAGAGAAAAATCTAATGACTTCATTCAATCATTCATTTGAAATTTGTAAGCGATATGAGAAGATGTGCTGCCTTTTGGCCTGGAAAAGGCTTTTTAGACCAGATCGGTGAACATCAAAACTTCGAATGCTTTTTGTACACAACACCATGCTATATGAACTTCAGTAACATTGCAGCTAATACAGTGCATTCAGTATTTCATATTCTTTTTGACAGGATACAATGAATTGAGATTAAAAATTATATAAGTAACCTGAGGAAGCATGTCATACCCAGACACTTTAAGCACAAACACCAGCACTGATGAAGCAGAAAGACTGGTATCAATTACTTCAGAAACACCCCCAAAAACTTCATTGCAAAGAAAAACTAAACTGGAACTCTTCCTAAAGAAATAATGTTAAAGGTCTAACCTCTTTCTAGCAATGAACTAAAACTTCCCTTGACTAAAATAAAACTCAGTTACCAAGTTCCTAATATAAAAAATTGGTGCAGAAGGTTAAAACTGTTAGCAAAACATGTCCCAAAAGGCACTGTAAGATTCCTAAACACGTGACTAATAAGGAAATAAATTATTTTTTTTGTAATGAGGTGAAAGTAATTTATCTTGGGCACATTATAAGGAAATAAATCACTATTTTTTGTTCATTTCTCTCTCTGCGCCTAAAGACTCCATGATTTTTCAAACACGTAACGACTCTGCTTTTAGAGAAGTTTGAGCTCTAGACTAGAGCTAGACGAAAAGTTATGAACTTTTTTTTCCCCAGCCCTTTTATATTTTGGATATTTAACTAAGACTAAAATATTTTAGGAGAATATAAAATAGCAGCAAGTGGATTTTTTCTCATCAGTTATCTACAACAGAGGAATACAACAACTCAGGATATTTACAACTAACATTACTCATCAGCTTTTGAATTCAGAGCAAGCTTAAATCTGAGCCCTGCACAAGATTAAAAAACAGCTATTAACCTGCTGAAGAACATCCTGTCCGTGAGATTCACTGCTTCCCAGCTTTCTCTCAGCTTCTACTGTAAAACAAATCTATAATGTTCTTGTCAGGTTTCTATCCCCTACCTTAAAACATTGATGATATAGGACTTACCTTTTTGGAAAATTCTGCTGCTTTTTTTTCACTTTCTTCTACTTTAGCTTTGTCCACACAGGCATCTAAAGTTAAATAATTACCACACAGAAGTCATGTAAAACACATCACACCTCTGAGGTCCCTTCCAACCTCAAATTACCCTATGATCCTATGACATAAAAGCAATAGATGGAAAAAAAGAAGAAGTAAATTTAAATCACAAAGGATTTGCTTTACTTTCTCTTCCTAGCTATAATATTCTATTAGTTTGAAACCTAAAAACCTAAGTAGCTTATATATATATATATATATATGTATGTATGTATGTATGTACACACAAGCACACACACACACACACTTTAAACAGACTGGTTTCTAGTACACTACAGAAGTGCTGTTTCACGATATGTATAATCTATCTATACCGTTAGCAACTATCAAAAAGTGCAGTACCACTGTCTCCCATAAATTATGCATTTCTGTCACCACCCTGATTAATAATTAGGCAACCATAGCGAACTAGCAGGCTGATATGTTACCAAATAGTGGTGATTTTTCTTGTTTTGATCAGCAAAATCAGTAAATATAAAAAAGGGGTAAGAACACGTGACCAGGAAAGTTGAAGACAAATCCTTATAGAGTTGTTATGTTCATTCTCTAACAAATTAGTGTTTGCATGTGATGATTTTTGCCCTTCTCCTTTACATGAACTTACTACTAAATAAAAGATGAAAACGTAGAATTTAACATTAGAATGAAGTGATAGCTCCTTCAGGGTTAAATCAGAAGGCCCCCCTTTAACATAAGAAATCCAAATAGAAGCGTTTTCTTATTTGCATAAAATTATTCTCTAGGCTTCTAAAAGAAAATGTGGGCAGATTGTAAAGAAGATCCCTTCACTGAACAGTGATATAAGCCATTTCTATTGACTTTTCATGGAGTGCAAAATCGAAACGTTTTAAGTGAAGTAAACATGATTAACTGCGTATTATAAATAGGAACTAGCATAGAGAGACAAAACAGTTAACCCTACAACTGGTAGATCAGTGGAAACTGATCAAGTAAGATCAAGTGATCAGGTTCCTAACTCATAACTGAATAAGAGAACGCAGGTAGGTACTTTCTAAAAAGCAAAATTTTTTCACAAGTCAACCTGTACAACAATATTCCTTTCTTCCCTTTGTCTTACTGCCAAAAATATTCTCCTAAATGTAGATAGTCTCAAATAACAACTACTTCCCCATAGGAAGTATTTACTCCAGGGATGGCACTGTATTGCAAGAAAGCAGTCAATTCCACAAACAAACAAAAAAACCAAATAAAACAAAAACCCCAGACTTTAAATGCTGATAATGGTCATTTGCATGATTGTATGATACTTATCTGCTTCTTCCCCAAACATGTGCATCCTCAGTCCTCTAATGTTTCAACTAATTAGTTTACCTTACTAAGTAACCTTAAATACTTGGTTACAGAAAATACTCTGCAACTTAAACACATAAGAATTATAAATCCATTATTAATTAATGCTAACCTAAATCTTAAGATTTGCAACAGGCCAGAAATTCATAAAATTTTGAACAAACAATTTTTAATTATTACGATTATAAAACTCAGATAGAAGTCAAAATAAAGCTGGAGAAGTAAACCTCAACTATGTCATTTCTTAAAGGCTGGAGAGCTTGATTTGGCCATGGATTTCTAACTTACACAAATATTTCCAGAAAATGGAGCAAATACACACAGCCAAAGAAAAACGTAAAGTTGATTGCAGTATACAAACCAATAAGATGAGTAAGATCCACGTCCAGTCTTCCTCTACATTTAAAATCTGGGTCCATTCCACTGCAGTGCAATACTATCTGTGAAATGCATTCTTCTATTATCTTGTAATACTGAGGTCTGACAAAGAAGACATTTTACAAGATAATTTATGCAACGAGGAAGGGAAAAAGGCCAGCTATAACTCCCAATACATGAATTACACAATTGCCAGTAAAAGGCTCCAATGAAAAGGCTTATTTGTATGTTGGCCAACGCTATCGTCAGTTTCTCAAAGAGATATCTGAAAAAATTGAAAACTCCACGAAACATAGCATGCTTCCAGTTTATATTTTGCTCCTAGTTTATACTTTGCCAGACAATAAGCAACAAAACAGATAACTTATTAAATAATATTAATATACGCTGCAGTAATTATTTAGCAGATTCTCAATACACTGAATTCCATTCCACTATCCAATTACTTATCAAATTAGTTAATCAATAACTTAATTGTCTGATATACATTTCCATACTACCTCATCAGGAACCTCTAAGATTACAGGATTCCGTGCTCAAAATTATCCGCTCTTACCAGGCAAGACACTATATCTCAATTTCACATGGCAAAGTTGTCAGAGCAGAAAACAATCAATCTTTTTTTTTTATCATCCCTTTACAATAAAGCACTATTTTTTAAAACAAGACTTTGTATGCAGTACTTTTATACTGTTAAAGGTATTATTCTTCCCCTTCTCCCCATTTCAAATTCAGCCAAGATAGCTGATTCTTACCGGACATAATAATCATTCCTGATGAGAAGGAAATGTTGGAGAATTGACAAGAAGTAGTTTTCAGAAGATGTATCTTTCAACATATTATACAACAGATGATATACTTCATTAATATCAGTGCAAATATTGTCAAGGAAATGCACGAGGATTAAAGAAGTTCCCTATATGAGCAGTCTTATAATTAATATAAAACTCTTCAACATCCTGAACTACTACCCTTATTACTAAATACCCTTTTCTAGCAACAATTATCCACGGAACCTTTGTTCCCTGTTGAACAATTAAAATATGCTTTATACCTACTGAGAGAAATTGCACCGTTTACTTATTATCATAAAATCCTATGAGCATATTTCACACAGTTTTCATTTTTATTTTGAAATAAGTCTGTTTATTGTCAAAAAGTACACTGGTTAATCATTTTAATTTCTTAAAGACGACAACTCCCAGAAGTTCTGTACTGCAACAACATTACTTGCTATTGATTTTATACTCCCTTCATCAGTACCCACGTTTCTCTGTTTCCGCAGTACTAATTGCCACTTTTTCAAATTCACACCAAGGTCAAGCAAGTGTTCTGAACTCTCGTAACTTGAATTTTACTGCCTCTTCACATTTACAGAAGGCATGCATCCTGAAAAATTGTTCTAAATTAGCTATCAACCTGTCATTTTTCTTCAGTCTTAAAATTCAAGTGTAATTTTACATCTTTACGTGTCATACACCAACAGAGTATTTAGTTTAATAAATGGCATTTATGAAAAATTAATTCAGTTCCTAATGACTTGCATTTAACAGATATCTATCAATATAGATGCTAACTTTCTAACTACATTTCTAACCAAAAAAAAAAAAAAAAGGAATGAAATCTACTTGTGAAAATCCTTGGGAAGATATGCAATTCTGCAAATCAGCTGCATGTGGAGAAGGCTACTTTGAGTTTAATAAAATTATTAATCAATATGCTAGAACACCATTTCTATAAAGGATATTCCATTTCAGCTCCAATATCACTGAGACGATGTGACAGCTCAATTAGGTCTTCTTCTTTGTTTTCATCAAAAACTTTTAACTGAATATCCAGCTCTTCATTTTCCTTATCTTTCAAGTCCTATTTTTCAAGGCACAGTGTATCTTAATTTTCCATTTTTTCCTTAAAGCAACAATTTCCCTCCCTTCAAAGATTACATGATTGCAAAATATAATACATTAACCTTTTGAGCAGAAAATATACATTTAAAAAGAAATAAGTAGTAGCTTATTTTTCTAAATACTATTGCACAGCTGATAAAAAAGCAAAAATACCAGTCAATACAGCAGGCAGAGGCTGTAAAAGAAATAAAAGACCTTCTAATAGAGTTGAGTTCTCTTAACAGAAAAGAGCTGACAATTCAGTCTTGTCAATGTCAGTTCTTTTAAAAAAAAAAAATGCACAAGAATATTTCTAGACATGAAGGAAAGCAAGCTAAAGCCAGCTAAGGAAGGATCAAGAAGTGCAAATGAGGGAGGCTTACAACTTTCGTTATCAAAAGTTCATTTAGATCATATTATAAAAACCATCTATAGTGCATTCTCAAAAATACTTACATGAGAAGTAAAAAAACCAAAAGAAATTGGTATTTGGAGGTTAAAAAAAAAAAAAAAGGAAAAAAAACGTGTTCCTTATCAGAAATGCACAACAATTTCTCCAATACACTTAAGAGGCAAGTTCAGTTTCCTACTGGGCACATCACACGAAAAGCAACTCTAGTTCAAAGCCATTAAATGCAAGCACGCTGCACGCTTCAAATGAAAACTAGCCTGCAACTGGACATGCACAACTGGACGCTAATTGAATATACCCCGGAAAAAGTGGAACTCATACTAATTCTAATGTTTGAAAGCCAGAGAAGCGCATTTTGTATTTGGACAGAGAAAGAGACCAAGAATTATGGATCCTCCTCCCAAACTTTTCTTATTCTAGAAACTTTTACTCACTTAAAAGTTGCTTGAAAAGTTTCCCCTAAGCACAGATAAGAGCACAAAAGTCTTAAAATGCTTTATCATCAATAAAGTTGCTTTGTAATGCAAAAAATCTGCTCTACCTTGTATATTCATTCCCTGCAGAATTAATGAGCTGAGCTCAATATATATGTTGTAATTAACAGTACATTAAGAATAAACAAACAGCAAAATAGCATTGGCTGTTTTTAATTGATATTACAGCTTTCATGAAATATTAAATAATTAACCTTACTGACTAGAGGCAGAATTTCAACACAATAGTTCTTCAATATATTTTAGAAATAGGCTTTTGTTTTTACTAAATCTTAATTGCTTTTAAACTCAAGTGATGTTAGTACATTATTAAGTTTTCTATCATGAATTATTACAGTTCAGGTTATTTGCACCTCCACCCCCCCCACCCCCACCCCGGCAAATTCTTAAGTTTTGGAAATATTTAGTGATTGTATAAAGATTAACCTGCAGTCAGCAAAAAAAAAAAAGAAAAAAGAAAAAAAAAAA